AATCATATATTCTCAATATAAACGCACGTAGTTTTCTTAGTGTCTTAGCAACTTGTTTTGTCATCAGTTGAGAAAATATAAGAAGACAAACAGGTATTTGATTGCATACTCTCAACAAATTCAAAAATAATTTCAATCTACATGTAAATTGTTAACGTTTCATAAATTTAGTGTGTTTTTGAGTTAACCAAACACCGCCATTCCTAGGCATATTTTTAATCTTACATTACATACTTTAAACTACTGTGTTACATAACATTCATATATTGATAAAGTCAGATTTCCCATTAAAAATCATCAGCTCAAAAGGAGATGCAACCGATTTAGGTACCCCACCGATATAGGACCCTCCACGATAAATATTGGCAAAATTATTCTGGGGAGGGTACTATCCCCCCCCCCCCCCAACCAACCAAAGAAAACATGAGTCGTTACTGCAGCCAAATCTTTGCTAGTTTGCAGTACAAAGTGGTAAAAATTTAAAACCGGCTATAAACATGATAAAAGATTGGATTCATATTTATTCAAATTGGGGGGGGGGGGGGGGCTATCAAATTTTGTCAAAATTATTTTCAGAACTTTATAAATGAAACTGTATAAGGCTTTGTAAATTAATATTTGATACTTTTTTCTGAATAACCATGATGGTATTATTAATACATGTACCATTGCAGACAGAGATAAATTGCTTTTTTTAATGTTACATGTATATACGTATCCACTGAAAACAGTTGGGGGAGTCCGAGTGGGCGTGTCAGTCGATCAAGGTCAGGATATTAAATATACGAGTGTATCTAGTACCCAATCATTTAACCCCATCCACCTCCCCACAATTTACATACTAATATTGAAATGAATAAAATAATTAAAAATGATAAGGGTTCTGGAGGGGTGTTGCTAAAACGAGGAATGAAAAACGGAACGGAAAACATATATTTTTTTATCTTAGATTAAATCACCTTAAATACACAAATTTATAAACAATATACATGTTTATTTTATAAATTCAATCCCCCATTATTTAACTCAAGTTAATTTATTCATGTTCATAAAATCTTTTATTCATGAAAATTGCTGTCATAGCAGTGACGTAGAAACGATTTTGAAAGGGTCGGGGGGAAGGGGGGGGGAGGGGTAAAATTAAACTTACCTGAAAAGAATTTCCCAAGCGAAAAAAGAAGACAATTGTTTGATTCGGGAGGTGGGATAAGAGTAAACTCCAGCATCTTTCATTGTCTTAAACTCCTTTATGGAGTTTTTTGTATAATATCCCCCGCAGTATTTTTATAAGATTGTACCAATTTAAAATTGGCAGAAAGCAAACAGCTAGCTGCAGAACTGTAGCTCTCCGAAAAAATATATAATAATAGACCGGAGAGCTACAGTGCCACCCATTGAAAAAACTGTATATTTATTGCGCACAAAAAAGTGCGCTGTTTCTCGATTTATTTCTCCGTGTTGATGAGCAAGCAAGTTGATGAAACAAGAATATCAGCACTTTCGTTTAAAGTCATCATTTCGAAAGTTCTATGGTCGATACAATGACCTTGTCAGCAAATACAATTTATCACAGCTGAGTCAAATGCTGACTGACTTTTTTCATACCAATTGTTAGTCCATTATTTACACACTGAATTGACAACGGATTTTTTTCGTTATTTCCTGATCGTGACAAGGAACACACGGCGGTTGTAACCGGTCGCCAGGGGATGCTCACTCCTCCATGGCACCTGATCCCACCTCTGATGTTTCGGGGGTCCGTGTGTGCTCTGCTCTTATTTTGTATTGTTTCATGGACTTTGAGATCGAATACTGCTTGTTATCTCCATATCCTTCTTAAAACTGTCATCTCAAAATTTTACCAACCATGTGTTCCTAACATATTCTTTCACCGTTTCCACAAAAAACATTCCTTATAATTGTTTCTAATAGCCCTCCTGGAACTGGAATTGAGATCATCTAAAGTTTCGCCTATTTATACTGCCATTTTGGTTTGCAAGATAATTCGGTCCAACGCGCTTCGTACAGATGTAAATCATGCCGTTAATTGATATAGGAGTAAGGACTTTATTGGAATCTAGCTTTTTTTCAATTGAGGTAAAAATTTAGAAGAATTAATCCAGAACCGAGTGTATTTTTTCAATGGGTGGCACTATAGCTCTCCGGTCTATCAATATATATTTTTTCGGAGAGCTACAGTTCTGCAGCTAGCAAACAACTTACTGAAGGCTCAAATTTTATATGTTCAAGTCTCAAAATTTATATGAAAGATACTGAGTCCGTTTGAATTTAAATACTTGTAATTTCCATTTTATTAATTAAAAAGAAACTAACTTACAAAATGTAAGGAATATATATATTCATATGATTGTTGAAAAATTGGAAGTAAGCCAATACAATTTATTATGCTTTTTTCATTTCTAAACATCATTGGCAAAATGCTAATCCTCATATTAGGGGTAATTTCTGACAATTTAGTTTTATTTGATTTTTAATTTTAATATTTTTCAATCTTAATTATTATTTCAAAGAAAATAGTTACATGTTTCAACATCTAACAACAATTGTTTATAATTTAAAGTACTATATTTGACTTTTTAACCCATTAAAGTTTGAGCAATTTTTTCGAAAATTGGCAATTTGTAAATCCCCGTATCTTAAATATTTATTATTTCCCAAGCTCAATATTTTGCAAAGATAATGTTTAGAGTTATATTTGTACAATAAAATCAAAAAAATTAATTTCAAAGATTGGTCTTGGAAGATTTTGGGCATTAAATTTGCAATACTTTTGGCAATTCTTGAAAATTGGCATTATGCCAATTTTCAAGAGTTGTCTGCCCTTTGATATATTGCATATTTGATTATGATAAATGGCAATTTTGAAAGAACATAGTCTTATGTTACTTAAAAATACCTTAATGGAAATGCAAGTTTAATTTTGAGTAAAATAAATCAAATGTGAATTTTACCATTTTTCTTGAATTTTTTTAGTGCATTTGCACTTAAATGTGCAAAAAGGAGATGGCGCTGCCTACGGCTGTCATGCTGAATGATGGGATTTTTTTTGGTCATTTTCTAATAACATATTATAAAGTCTAACTACCCACCAAATTTCATTAAGATATGACAACCTTCGATTTGGACAGTTCTGCATGGTTTTCTCGCGGACCGACTCTTAAATCCTATGTCAACTTCCTGTTTGTCTGTGATTCTGTCGGTTTCATACATAACAAATTTTCGTCACAGTTTTCTCTGCAACTTCTCATTGTAGATGCTTGAAATTTTAACACAATCTTCTCTAAGGTATACCATATGGTGGGATACATTTTTTTCAAATCGGATATCAACTTCCTGTTTGTCTGTCTGTTTCACACATAACAAATTTTCTTTGCAGTTTTCTCTTTAGCTATTCATAGCGGATGCTTCAAATTTAATTACACTCTTTGTTGATGCATGCCATATGGTGGGATTAATTTTGATATGAATCTGATGTCAACTTCATATTTCTCTATGCATCTGCCTGTAATTATACCCCCCGCAAACGAAGTTTGGGGGGGGTATATAGGAATCACCTTGTCCGTCTGTCCGTCTCTCTGTCTGTCTGTCTGTCTGTCCGTCCGTCCGTCTGTCTGTGCAATCGTGTCTGGTCCATATCTTTCTTACAGAGGGACATTAGAATTTACTACTCCACACTAAGATTGCTCATGACCTAAGGGTGTGTCATGACCTTGACCCAAGGTCATTTGGGGAAGTTCAAGGTCACTGGAAGAAAAATTTCATAATTCGTGTCCGGTCCATATCTTTCTTATGGATAAACTTGGTAGGTTCTCATTTCACACAAAGATTGACCATGACCCAAGGGTGTGTCATGACCTTGACCCAAGGTTATTTGAGAAAGTTCAAGGTCACTGGAAGAAAATTTTCATAAATCATGTTTGATACATATCTTTTATAGATAAACTTGGTAGGTTCTCATTTCACCCAGAGATTGCTTATGACCTAAGGGTGTGTCATGACCTTGACCCAAGGTCATTTGGAGAAGTTCAAGGTCGCTGAAAGAAAAGTTTCATTATTCGTGTCCGGTCCATATCTTTCTTATGGATAAACTTGGTAGGTTTTTATTTCACACAGAGATTGCCCATGACCCAAGGGTGTGTCATGACCTTGACCCAAGGTCATTTAGAGAAGTTCAAGGTCGCTGAAAGAAAAGTTTCATTATTCGTGTCCGGTCCATATCTTTCTTATGGATAAACTTGGTAGGTTTTTATTTCACACAGAGATTGCCCATGACCCAAGGGTGTGTCATGACCTTGAACCAAGGTTATTTGGGGAAGTTCAAGGTCGCTGGAAGAAAAATATCATAATTCATGTCCGGTCCATATCTTTCTTATGGATAAACTTGGTAGGTTCTTATTTCACACAAAGATTGCCCATGACCCAAGGGTGTGTCATGACCTTGACCCAAGGTCTTTTGGGGGAAGTTCAAGGTCACTGGAAGAAAAATTTCATAATTCAAGTCCGGTCTATATCTTTCTTATGGATAAACTTGGTAGGGTTCTCATTTTATACAAAGATTGCCCATGACCCAAGGGTGTGTCATGACCTTGACCCAAGGTCATTTAGAGAAGTTCAAGGTCACTGGAATAAAAATTTCATAATTCGTGTTTGATACATACATGTATCTTTATTATGGAAAAGCTTACTTCTGAAAAACCCAGCGGGGGGTATTTTGTCCCGTTTGGACAGTTCTAGTTGAACTTGTGTATATACATGATAGTGCTTTTTTACATCAGAGCGGGGGTATTACTAGCTATATAGTGAGCATTGGCTCACAGATTTCTTTTTCTATTTATTGCTATTTTAAAGCTTAAGTTTCAAGTCCCAACTACTATTTTTCTCTTTGTTATAAATATAAACCAGTAGAGCTAGAGTCTCGACAGAGACTTCTGGTTTATGTGATTTAAACAAACATTTTTGTGTTTTTTTCTTTTTTTCAGAGGAAATTGAATGTCCTGTTCCTCAAAACATAAAAGGTAAGAGTGAACAAAAGAATACTGCATTTAGAGCAGCGATTATTTTATTACTGTAAAATAACATTTTCGTGGGGTAAAAATTTCTGTGGTTTCGAGGAAAAAACTATGCAGTTCAAGGGGATTGAAATTCATAGTTGAAGAGTTGTTGAATAGTTATGTACATGCCATTTTTAGCTCTTCTGAGCCAAAGGCTCAAAGAGCTAATGCTATGGCCATTTGTGCGGTGTGCGTCGTGCGGTGTGCGTTAACTTTTTAGAATATGGGCCATAACTCAAGAACCCCTTGGCCAATCAGTGTCAAAGAACTATATGCGGTATTAACCAACATTTGCCCCCCAAAATCAAACTTTGATGGAGTAATATTTAATTAAGTCCTTAAACAGGGGAGTATATGCTGACTTCAAAGCACAGAATAATTTCATAAGTAATGACGTCATATGTACGTAATGACGTCACAAATATGACGTAATTTCAGTTTTTTATGAATTTTGCAGAAAAATGTACATATTTCGTCGATATTTTGAATAAAAGTCACCGAGCGCATGTGTGTTCAGGATAGATATTTTGATATAATGTGTAGAATGATAATATCAATGAAATATGTCAATATTGTTCCTGAACACACATGCGCTCTATAAATTCTAAAGCTTAAATTGTTGAAATTTTGTCCATTTTGTCCTCTTTCTGGAAAAGGATATAAAACCGGACTAGTTTGTGACGTCATAATAACAGAAATTGTGAATACACTGCTCTGGAACTATAATATTTTCTGTTAACTTATATTTCTCGTACAATTTATTGAATTCAGCACATTTCAGGAAGTTTTCAAAATTTGACTTTTGTGGGGGCAAACATATGCAATATACCGCATATAGTTCTTTGTCACAGGGTATCCTTGGCCCAAGGGCTACCATTTATACTAAAATAAGGGTTGGGACCCTAAAACAAGGGGAGATAAACAGGAAAACAAAACCAAAAGTACTGGTTGCTAAAAAATCTTCTTCTCCAGAACCACCAGGCAGATTTTCACCAAACTTACATACAAGGATTAGGATATGTTGAAGATTAAAAATTGTTCAAGGCATGACCCTGGGGCAAAGGGCATGGTCTCAAGGTCACTTCAAAGTTGACCTAATTTTACAATTAATAAAAATGTTTATATTTTGCTTACTATAAGGAATAGGTTCATCAAATCTTGTAAGTTGATGCATCTAAGGACTTTACATCATGTTAACTCAAAAGTAGGTCATGGTGACCTACTTTTTAAATTTTGCGGGCATTTGTTTTCAAATTGATTTAAAGGCATATTTTGAAGACTTTAAGGCCTATGATCATCAAACTTTGTCAGTTGATGCATCTTGGGTCCTTGAACAATGTCAACTTAAAAGTAGGTCACTGTGACCTACTTTTTGAACTTTATGACCTATCCTTTTTAAAAATTTAATCTCATTATTTCAGACACTAAGAGGGTTAGAATCATCAAATCTTGTAAGTTGCTGCATCTTGGGACCTTAAAACATATTTAAGAAAAAGTAGGTCACTGTGACCTACTTTTAGAATTTTGCAGGCATTTGTTTTCAAATTGTTTAAAAGGCATTATTTGATTACCTTCAGACCTATGATCATCAAACTTGGACAGCAGATGCATCTTGGGACTCTGAAAAATGTCGACTAAAATGTAGGTCACGATGACCTACTTTTGACATTTTATGGGTATATTTAAATATCTTAGGTACTTATTGGCTTAGAACTTAGAATCATCAAACTTTATGAGTTGATGCCTCTTGGGTTTTCGGAGAGTGACGACCAAAAATTAGGTCACAGTGACCTACTTTCGACATTTTATGGCTATATTTAAGTATCTACAGTACTTATTGGCTTAGAATCATCAAACTTTGTCAGTTGATGCATCTTGGGTTTTCGGAGAGTGACAACCAAAAATTAGGTCACGGTGACCTACTTTTGATATTTTTGGCTATATTTAAGTATTTCCGGTACTTATTGGCTTAGAATCATCAAACTTTGTCAGTTGATGCATCTTGGGTTTTCCGAGAATGACGACCAAAAATTAGGTCATGGTGGCCTACTTTCTACATTTTATGGCTATATTTAAGTATCTCCGGTACTTATTGGCTTAGAATCATCAAACATTGTCAGTTGATGCATCTTGGGTTTTCGGGTAATGTTGACCAAAAAGTAGGTCACAGTGACCTACTTTTGACATTTTATGGCTATATTTATGTATCTCTGGTAATTATGAGTTTAGAATCATCAAACTTTGTCAGTTGATGCCTCTTGGGTTTTCAGAGAATGTTTACCAAAAAGTAGGTCATGGTGACCTACTTTTGAATATCTCAGGTATTTATTGGCTTAGAATTATCAAACTTGGTCAGCAGATGCATCTTGGGACTCTGAAAAATGTCAACCAAATGTAGGTTACGATGACCTACTTTTGACATTTTATGCTATATTTAAGTATCTTAGGTATTTATTGGCTTAGAATAATCAAACTTTGTCAGTTGATGCATTTTGGGTTTTCCAAGAATGTAGACCAAAAAGTAGGTCAAGGTAACCTACTTTTAAATATATCAAATACTTAATTGCTTAGAATCTTCAATCTTAGTTTGTCTATTAATGCTTCTTGAGTCCTCAGAAAACTTCAATCTTAAAGTAGGTCACTGTGACCTACTTGTGGTTTTTTATAGCTTTATTAAATTATCTTCAGTCTTATTGGGTAAGAATCATCAAATTTTGTCAGTTGATGCAACTTGGGTCTTGGGATACTTAGGGTTAGAGGCTTCAAATACAAGTGATAGGTTGTACAATTTATCAGAAGAGCGATTCAAGGCCCTTGGGCCTCTTGTAAATTTTTGTGATGGATATGAATTCCTTGAAAACAACACAAATTAAATCCCACTAAAATTAGTGATTTCACAGGATATGCACATACCGGTACTTGCAGGATTTGCAGTGAATGTAGATTCCTTATTTTATGTGAATACTTAATATTATGAAATAATTCAAAAATGTCAAATTATGAAAAACATTAATTTGTTTTCAGTGGAATTAAATCAAGAATTTAAGCTCACCTGAACAGAAAGATCAAGTGAGCCAGTTTCCGTTCACATTTTGTCTCTCGTCCATCAGTTTTAAAACTTCATATTTTCGAATAACTGCAAAGGTGTGATAAGTCATATTGCTTTCGGCGTATCCTCAGGCAGTTAAGATTAAAGTTTGATTCAGACGAGATCCCGAGGGATGGGATGGGGCTAAATGGAGAGTGCAAAATTTTACATATCAAGAAATCTGCTGATGAAGAACAGCAGGGCTATATTGACTTATATATATATATATTAGGGATGTCAAATCGGTCCAGTTTTAATACTCGGTTACTCGGACGTTTCTCCGATCGAGTACCCGGGTACTCGGTAAAAGTCTAAATAAATATGAACAAGTTAATTGATAACTGTAAAACATTGTAAACCCTTGTAGAAATAAAACCACATGGTGTGATGGGAGGTTTACCTGTAAATGTATTGTAACAATTATGACCACTTTGTGCCCGACGAAATTTAATCTAACTTTTTTTTAAGTTCAATTTATTTATCAGATAAATGCGAGAAATAAAATCATAAATAGTTCACAGTGGTTTTGTTAAAAAAAAAATAATCTGTTCCCTTATTGTAATGTTATCTGATGCGTTTGAAGTCCAAGTAATAAGTCGTCAGAGCTACATGTACAGTATCAACTTGATCAAGTTTTCCTATAACAGAGCGAATTTACGATCTCCGTATACTTTTCGATCCTAGATTTTATAAAATTACGAGATGGTATGTTGTAGTTCAGTGCAACGATGGACATATTAAGATTTTTAAAGCCTTTGCCTTCAACCATTTGCATTAATTGGCATGTAATCAAACGCATCCATATCAACAATCGCACGTGCAATTTCGTTTCTCTTTCCCCGAGAATTTACGGTTTCTGGAGAATTGACAATATTATCGAATTTATTTTAAACATAATAGACCTTTAACGATGTTCAATGAAAACAAATAATTAGAGCAAAACAAAAATAAGGGTAGCAGACAGCCGAAGGTGTGAAAAGCCAGGTAGGTAACCGGTGCTTGGTCACGGTAATTACTGTATAAACACTGCCACAGGCGATAACGGTCATTTAGAGGCGCAGGAAACCCTAATTACTGTATGTACAAGTGCAATGAACATTTTACGTTTTAAAACCGATTTTTTTATGCATTAATAAACAAGCTTAGAAATATTTAAAAATATTTATCCGAGTAACCGAGTACCATTTTTAGTATTCGATACTCGGACGTTCGATCGAGTACCCGGTTAACCGGGTACTCGTTGACATCCCTAATATATATATATATACATATATATATATATATATATATATATATATATATATATATATATATATATGAGTGTTGTGACCCATGGGTCTCTTGTTAAATTTATTTCAACAAAAATAAAAAAAAAAGAAGTAATTTTGTAACTGATGCTTCTAGCAAAATTATGCTATAATAATCCCTTGAATATTATACCATATAAGCAGAATTTTTAGTGGGGATTCAAATTGGGTATTATTAACAAGGGTTCTGAGATAAGAAAAATCACTAGCAATTTATTCCAAATTAATCGTAATAGCTATATTTCTTTAAATTATTAAATTACTAAAATTACTTCTTGATAAAGTATATACCAATTGTTTTGTTGATTAAATTGGTTAATTTATGTATGGTAAAAAAATCCCACTTGATTTACAGTATCAGTTATACTGGATTTATTTATAGATAGGTGCCTGGAGAGTGGATTGATAGCCCCCTTTTTTAATTAAGAAGAAGTAGTAAGAGTGTGTAATATCTCAAAAATATTTTTGAAAATCCCCGTTAATCACATCCATATTTCATTCTTTGCGCACAGTAATTCAGAAGTGAAAAAAGAATTAGATGGAGTACAATACAATCCGTATGTATTGGTCCCTGCTAACCAAGCAGGTAACAACATTGTCTTCGTGTGTTTTAATTTTAATCAAACTTGGTACATCCATAGGTGAAGGGGAGTTTAAATTGTAAAATGAAGGACCAAGTCCCCTCACAAGGGGAGATAATCAAGAAAAGAAAAAAATAAGGTGGGGTCATTAAAAAATCTTCTTCTCAAGAACCACTGGGCTAGAAAAGCTGAAACTTTTGGGAAGCATCCTTGGGTATTGTAGATTCTAAATTGTTAAAGTCATGACCCAGGGGGTTTGGCAGGGCCACAATAGGGAATCAAAGTTTAACATAGAAATATATAGGAAAAAAAACTTTAATAGTCTTCTTCTCAAGAACCACTTGGCCGGAAAAGCTGAAACTTACGTGAAAGCATCCTCAGATACCGGTAGTGTAAATTCTAAATTCTTAAAATCATGAACCCCGGTGGGTTTGGTGGGGCCACATTAGGGAATCAAAGTTTTGCATAGAAATATATAGGAGAAATTTTTTTAAATCTTCTTCTCAAGAACCACTGGGCAAGAAACGCTGAAACTTATGTGGAAGCAACCTGGGATAGTGTAAATTCTAAATTGTTAAAATCATGACCCCCAGGGGTTGGTTGGGGCCACAATAGTGAATTAAAGTTTTAAATATACAGTCCAGTCCAATACGAAAATTCTTAATATTACGAAAAAACTTAAGATTACGGAAAAGCGTAATATTACAAGTTATCGTAATATAAAACTTATATTACAATTTTTCGTAATGTAGTTAAATTACGAATACGTGTAATATAGCAGGTTGTAGAGACTATATTACGAGTTTTCATAATCCAAGACAAATTCAAGCATTGCAAGAAATTGAGTGGCGGGTAGCAAAGTATGACTTTACTACGAGGTGTCAAGGGCGATAACTTGTACGACTCTTACTGAGATTTGAATTCTGTGTATTTCAATAAGAATTGCACGAACAGTTGAATTATGAGACGAGGGTGTGATTTTTAGGGTAGACTTCGCAAGAAAAGTAGGGAGTTCGGGTGATATAGACCGATGCGACATGCTTAAGCGAATATTGAAATTTACTGGAAAATTGGTCTTATTGGGAAAATTCCTATAAAAGAATAATAAAAGAAATTGTCCACTCACCCATCGCTGGCGGTACTTTCCTCTTGAATTACCATGCTTTCTGATAGGCATAACTGACCAAACTGACCGCGTGCTATCAGTAGCCGTGGAATCTGATATATTACTGACGTCATACTTTGCTACCCCCACTCAGTTTCTTGCAATGCTTGAATTTGTCTTGGATTATGAAAACTCGTAATATAGTCTCTTACAATCTGCTATATTACGCGTATTCGTAACAACATTACGAAAAATTGTACTATAAGTTTTATATTACAATAAATTGTAATATTACGCTTTTTTGTAATCTTACATTTTTTGTAATATTACAAATTTTCGTATTGGACTGGACTGTTATATAGGGAAAAATTTTTAAAATCTTCTTCCAAGAACAACTGGGCAAGAAAAGCTGAAACTTATGTGGAAGCATCCTGGTATAATGTAGATTCTAAATTGTTAAATTCATGACCCCCGGTAGGTAGGGCGGGGCCACAATAGGGAATCAAAGTTTTACATAGAAATATATTTTTTTCCTTAGCTCTGCACAACTTAGACCTGAAGAAATGGGAAGAGGAAGACACTTTTTATCAGGAAACTCACAGCTTTTCTTCAATGATGCAAAAAGTGAAAGACCAACCATATGTAATTTTCGTTGGAGTCCCAGGATCAGGGAAATCGGCCACAGCTCGTCACATTGCACTTAAGCTCAAAAGTGAAAATTACCAGGTTTTGCCCATTAAGGACATTAGAAAGTTAGAAGATTTTTGCGATACCAATAATCCACAGGTTTTTGTTATGGAAGACGCCTTGGGTGTATATGGCCTTCAACAGTCTGAATTGAATATCATACTCCGATATAAAGAGCGAATAATCACACCAATGAATGAAAATTCAAAATTACTGCTGACATGCAGAGAGATTGTATTTAATGAGGTTTTATGTCACAATGTCTTTTTAGCTGAGGACAACAATGTCATTAAGTTGTGCAATTCTGAGCATGATTTAAATGACAATGACAAGAAACTAATCTTAAAGAAATATGGGTTAGATGAAGATTTAATGACCCGTTCAGAGCTTAGGTCTGCATCTCGAATGTTCCCTCTTCTTTGTAAACTGTTTGCAAAAGACCTAAAACTCAGATCTCTGGGTTCAAAGTTTTTCATTATGCCTGTACAGTGTTTCCTTGAGGAATTGGATAAAATGAGATCAGAGAACAAAATTAATTACGCAACACTTATTCTATGCATGATGAATGGAGATATGCTCTCAAAAGAAATTCTGCGAGATAAAAACAATGCTGAATTTATTGAAATGAAAACTGTTGTGCTAGAAAGTTGTAGGGTAGAAAGTCACACAGATACATTCAAGTTTATGGATGCTTTGTCTGCAATGAAAGGTACTTACACAAGAGAGAATGACACAGTGTTCTCATTTATTCATGATTATATTTATGAAATCTGTGCATTTCATTATGGTCAACAGTTTTTGGACCAAGTTTTACTCTATTTGGATAGTTGTTACATAGCAAACTATGTAAGACCAAAGGATGTGGAAGCAAGTACCAGTAGCACAGGTGAGAAGTCCTTTGATTTGTGTCTAAGGTTAAATGAAGGACAATATCTTATGTTTGCAGAGAGGCTTTACAGAGACATACAGGACCTGGATCTGCATGATGTCTTCATGAACAATTCTTTGAAACATCCTCAAGTAATACAGGCATTCATCAATGTGTTGGAAAGAAAATCCTACACAGAATTAAAATCTATATTCCTACAAAAGCAAGGCAGGGGCCTACCTCACTTATTAAGTAAAGTGCGGGACTTAATCAAGGAAACTCAGATGCAGACAAATGAGGAGATTGAAAGAGAGAGAGACAGTGTGTGTTGTTGGATGAGAAGTGGCATGCTAAAACATACACGCACAACATCAGAGTGATCAGTTGGGTGATTATGTATGGACATAATCAGATCCTGCAGTATATTTTAAAAGAAGTGAAGAAACATGATGAGGATATAAAAAGAGAAGTATTTATGGACACTCAAATTTCTGAACATCCTCAAAGTAAAAGGGAAGTATTTCATGACAAGATAATTAATGATATAACAGGAAGTTTGAATGCCACAAAGTTATTGTTGTTAAATTGCAGATACATAGAGCAGACCAGATTACTTGTGTTGGCTTGTTACAGTGGTGATGTGGAGACTGTAAAAGCAATTCTTCCTCACATGAATAGAAATTCACTTAATAGTATTTGTCTGAGTAATGCTCATACACCACTGGTAATTGCTTGTCAAGGTGGATTTAAAGATATTGTTAAAGAACTGATAAATGCAGGAGCTGATATCAGTCAGCAAGATTTACACGGAAATGCTCCACTAGTAACTGCATGTCAAGGTGGAAATTTGAGTGTGATGAAAAAGCTAGTGAGTGTAGGGGTAGATGTCAATCAACCTGATGGAAGAGGAAGAAGGCCAATTGTAGCTGCTTGTCAGGGTGGACATTTGAGTCTAGTACAGGAGCTGGTGAAGGCAAAGGCTGATGTCAATTTAAGAAATGGACAACAGGAGGTGACGACTGGTGAAAAAGGACAACGTAAGTGGATATTAACAACCAAACTAGATAAAGAAATGTACACACCATTGGTAGCAGCTTCCAAAGGTGGGGATGTGAGATTGATTGAAGAACTGGTGAAAGCAGGTGCTGATGTCAACTTACAGGATGGAGAAGGGAATACACCATCGGTGTCAGCTTGCAAAGAGGGTCATTTGAGTGTTGTGGAAAAACTTGTTAAGGCAGGTGCTGATGTCCACCTATGTGATGGGAAGGGGAATACAGCATTGGTATTGGCATGTGAGGCTGAGAATGTGGGACTTGTTGCTGGACATGATATCTAACGTCACTCACCAAGATGTATGGAGGAAATTGCTGCAAGCTGCATTAAAAATAAATTCTCAGTCTTATGTACAAAGTCTGATGAAACGAAGACTAGACTGTGGTGGACTGGTCAACATTCTTGCAACTATTTTGCATTTAGCATATCACATAAACAGACTAGATATAGTGAATGCACTGTTGGAACTGGAAAGTAAAATAAGTTTAAATTTGAACTTGTTTAACACTTTGGTGTTCCTTAGACACACTGTTGTAAAAATGGACAGTAAAGATGATGTGGTAGTCTCAAAGAGGTATGTCTGGCAGATGGAAGGTGATGATTTCTATTCATTAATCAGAATGTTGGACAGTGATGGTCTGAGAAATTTGTTGCAGGCTGGTCTGGGTGTTAATCAATGGATACAATATACTGATTACAAGAACAGACACTTTGAGGCAAAACCACTATTGCACATAATTCTAAATGAATATGGTCCATGTAATATTGATAGAGAAGGGAAAGTAAGGATCCTGCTCCAGGCAGGGGCAGATGCAAATGTCAGAGTGGGGTTTCGAGATGATGACAATGTATTTCTTCAACAGATGTTTGAATTTTATAAATGTTACGACAGACAAAGAGATCGATGTTATGACAGGTTAGACTGGGAAGGTGTTTCTGCTTTAGGGAGAGCAAGAAGAATTTTTTGTGATTATGGTTATTTTAAAAATAGAGAGATGACCTTACCATATGGTTGGAAAGGAGAGACGAGTACAAGAAAATAAATCAAGAAATTAAGAAACATGTCAGGAGATATTCATTTTGAAATTGATGAATGTAAACAACGTTAACTTTCCATAGACATAGAAGCAGAATGATTTTTTTATTCCCCAGCCAGGAAAAAAATGCAGTTTTCTAACTATGTTCTGTTTCCTTGACATTGTTTTGCTTTGCTCAAGTAAAAAAATTAATGAGCTTAATTCTGGTATATTTATTTATAATGATAACTTTAAGTTGGATTAAATTTGAGTACTTGTTGATTGTAGTTAAATTTAATTAATACTAGAAATTAAATTTTTAAAAATGTGAATTGATTTTGTGAACTTTATTAAGGTTCATGAGTAACTAAGGTGACCTATTGCTATCTGTTTTTGATGGGTGTCAACACGTAAAGCGATATGCATTCAATACATTTGAACATTTTCAGTCCTTCTCTCATAGCGCTTAACCAATTTCAACCAATTTTAGTATATAGCATCTTTTGGTATTAAAGGGAACAACAAATTTTGAAATTCATCAACCCTGCCCCCCTCCCCCCTTGCAATCTTTATACCTGGACATCAAGCAGTCAAACTGTAGGATGATTGTATTAAGCAGTGAGTCCTCTATCAAAATAGTGAAATTCATAGCCCTGGGATTAGAGGTTCTAGTGCTGTGGCAGGCTATATATACATGTAGATCATATAGTAAAAGAACATTGGATAGGTCCCCCCCCCCCCCCTATCTTTGATGGTTGTAGCATTTTTATACCCCCCGCAAACAAAGTTTAGGGGGGTATATGGAATCACCATGTCCGTCTGTCTGTAGACGAGATTTTGTCCGGACCATTACTCAGAAACTATTGGAAGGATTTGTCTGAAAACTTGTACAAATATTATTCACCATATGAAGTTGTGCACCTGATATTTTCATCTTGATTCGATTATTATTTTGAATTTTACAGATGTTTTTTTCATTTTTATTTTGTGGTTTTGTCCAGACCGTTTCTCAGAAACTATTGCAAGGATTAATCTGAAAATTTGTACACTTATTATTCACCATATGAAGGTGTGCAATTGGAATTTTCAACTCTTTTTGTTCATTTTTTTGCATTTTACAGGTTTTTTTTTTTAATTTTAATTGACTTGTTCATTTTGGGCTCATGTATAAGGTTTGAGACATAGAAACTAGAATAACTGTACAAAAATACTACAGCTTAAAAGTACTCATATAAACTTTAAAAAAAGAAACATCATCAAGTGTTAAAAACAGTTTTTACATTGCACAGAAGATAATGTAATTTTATTTATCTCTTGGGAATAATGACTGGACATGCATCCAGTTAAAGATAATTTAATGAGTTTGGTGTGGGAAGTTGAACATTAAGGCATCTTATTATCAACCATGTGTAATCTCCTGGGAATCAGGCACAAGAATTAAAGATCTCTCTTCTCTTATTCTCTTAATTGTAATTTATTGTCTGTCAAAGCACTTCATTACTGGATGACCAGCTCTTTATTTTCAAATTGAACTTGATATAAAGTTATCAAGATTAATTTGATTTTGTATAATATGATTTTTTTTCAACAATCAGTTTGCAGAGTGACATAACATAATTGCAATATATTTTTTTAATGCAGAAATAACAAAATTAAATAAAAAAAATAATGTTACAATGGAATTACAATGTATTAGTATTGATATTTCATTTGGTTGCACCTTTGTTTCATTCATTAAGAAACATGATGAGCAATTATATTTCACTGCCAATTTTTGTAAGTAAATTGCGAACACCTCTAGATCCATAAAGTATTTTTGAATTGGCACCTTCTCTGAAAAACCCAGCGGGGGGTATTTGTCCCTATTGGACAGTTCTAGTTCACATTATGTAATCATTTTGAAAAGTGTTTAAATTTTAAGTTGATATGTATATGGTTGCTTTCAATTCTAATCTGCCACATATGTTATATTTGTGATCATACATTTTGTCGTACCAGATTATGATTATGGGTTAGTATGATATGATTTTGACACTTCTTGGAACTGATATGTAATTACTGATTAGATAGATTGACTGATTGTGATTGATTATATCAATTGTGAATATTGATTTTGAATTGTATGATTATGAATTATTGATCTGACTTATTATGATTAATTAGATTTATTGTGAGTTTTGTCTTCATCATTTCAATAAAAGACAATTTTCAATTCAAAACATTTTCTATTGTATATTCTATCAACCTCTAAACAAAGCACAACATACAGAAATTGTGCCATAAAAGTGCATTGTTTCTTTGAAAATCTTCTCCTCTGCTCTTGGGTATTAAAGAACAAACCTAATGTGTATAGTATTTGTAATGAAGCAGGACGTTCATGGCTTCTGGGTCAGGAACTCTGTCTTAGGGTGGGGCTCTATTGATTTATATACTTGTATAATGAAAATGCATTTATTCTTATAAAATCTTCTCTGCATGCTCCTGTGTATTATAAACTATCTACATACATAGTTTTGATGAGCAAGCTTGGCTGGTGTTAGGGCGGAATCAAATGATTTTATAGTGAAAACGCAATTCATTGAAAATTTCCTCTGCTTCTGGGTATAAAACCAATGAACTATGTACATACTTTAAAATCACATATTTTGGTGGAGTCAAATTTCGAGGTTTGAGAAAAAATATTGATTTGTGCATGGGAATTTGATGGAGAAGTGTGTAATAATGCATAAGAAATTTTACATTTCGAGGTAGATGTCATTTTTGTAAATTTTGAATTTACCGGGGGGCAGTAAATACAAAATCTACAACATGACAACAATTTTGTATTTACTGCCACCTGGTAAATTTAAAATTTACAAAAATGACATAACCATAAATTTTTTGGACCTTGACATGATTATGTTTGGATTTTTTTTCTGATATACCCTTTGGCTTTGTTATTATTATTTGTGTGATAATTGTAAAATTGATTGGTACATGTAAACTGAATAAATTTTTTTTCAAAGATCTCAGAAAAAAAAATCTCATATACAGGTATGCTGTTACACACAAAAAATAAGATTTTAATGGTCAGGCAGACTTGTAAATATTAGAAGTAAAAAAATTACAGAACTGTTTGTACATCAAATTTTAAACAAATACAGGATTTTTTGCAACGAATTTTATGAAAAATTATGTAACAATTAGCTCTTGCTTGCTTTTAGGTCTATGGTTAAAGCGATAATTCGAAAGGGTGGGGGAGTCCTAATTGCCTTCTAGATATATATGTGTGCTTACATAATCCAAAAGTATGAGAAAAAAAATCCACA